TGAACTGCATCACCACTAACACCACTAACAGTGATAAGTGCAGACTGGCTGGTGAACTGCATCACCACTAACACCACTAACAGTGATAAGTGCAGACTGGCTGGTGAACTGCATCACCACTAACACCACTAACACCACTAACACCGCTGCACCACCCCTCCCCCCACGCACACACACACGCGACTCTCGGTGCTGTCACGACACAGTATACTGCTAAGAGCGCAAGTGGCAGGCAGGCCATATGAACACGGCGGCCGGTACTACTGAATACTTACAGTAGGCCATCGTGGCTTGCAGCATACTATCGTGAACTTGGAGAAGCTTACCCTCTGCCACACGACGCTCCATGGCATCAGCGCGGGCATCTCGGTACCTCTCCTCTTCGAGAAGGCGCTCAATGTCCGCGTCGGGATGCTTCCAGCTGATTTCCCGCGACGGTACGGTGGGCAAGAATTCAGACGCGCTGAAGAAATGAGCACGGCCATCGTACCTGCAGACAACAATCACAGCCATTACAGAAGCACAACAAACAAAGGTTTTAACGGCAACAACAGCACCAGCACCCTCAGCATAATGATGATCATCGTCGTCGTCGTCATTGTCGGTACGACCATCATCATCATCATCAGCAGCAGCAGCAGCAAAAAACAGTACCAGCAGTGGCAGAGGCAGCAGCAGCAGCACCACCACCACCACATGTAAACACACATACGCACGCACGCACCCACCCACACACCCACACACATACACACACACAGTGACACACAAACGAGCTCGCATTCGATTCTTCACTGTTCAAATTTCTTTTTTTTTCGGTGAGAGCCTGATGATTACTTCTCCAACCCACACTATTATTAAAACCAAATTAAAATTTCACGGCATGTTACATTCAACCGGGCGTCACGACACGAGGGATTTCCCCAGCTACCCACTCCTGGGCTGTTTTTTTTCACACTGAAGCCTTCCCATGTCTCTGATTCTCAAACGGAACCAATCCCCACTTTCTAGTTCGGTGCTGTTCTTCTTCAGCTTTTCAGGTTTCTATATTTTTCTACAATACCAACAACACCTCTGTGGAGCACAAGCTGTTATTTATGGTCCTCGAGTATTCGTAATGTGTGAATGTGTGCTGGGTTTCACTGCAAAGTCGGAATTCAAATTGTTTCGGAAATTTCAATTATTTTCTAGCAGATTCGCACAGGCTGAAGAATGTGTGCTGTTGTGTGTTACTGCGTACCTGTCGATGAGAAGGGAGTTATCACCTTGCCACGGGATCAACGTCTCGCCACGGTTCACCATCTTGGCGGCGGCATCATTGTGAAACAGGCGGCAGCCATACCCGAATACCAGTAAGTCTGAGTCGTCCTCAGTGGACATGTTCGTGCCGCCATGGACATCGGCGTCACCACCACTTTGGAAAAACATCTTGGCGAGCCAGTACTTATAGTTGTAAGCTCTGAAGGAAAGTTCAACAGGGTGTCCGCTACCAGACCTACAAGCATTGACTATTGCCAAGTGAGTTTGTGGAGTTGAAAATCAAAATGTACATAACGGACATTCAATTATTATTGTACCAAACAGCAAATTTGCAAAGCAAGGGGAAAATTGAAAATATGTTTTTTTCAATTTTTCTGGGACGTCACACATGTACCAGGGAGTCGTAAACAAAATACCTGTACAGACTCAATTATGTGTATAATTTTACGACTAGACTCCCTGCGTCACACACGTCATCCATCCGATCCCGATTAGGCCTCCGCGGAATATGCCGGCATAATTTTGGGAATTATCGGTGTGATTTTTAAAACGGGAATTATTGGCAATTTTTGTGGAATAATCGGTAAAATTTGAGCAATGCCCCCCTTTTTTCAATTTTTTTCCATTTATAACACCCTGATTTGTACCAAAAAGCTCATGATCCTGAACGTTGATCGCCCGGTATTTCAAAAAAGAAAGAAAAAAAAAGCTTCCAGCCGAGTTTCACGCGAACCGTGATTTTTTGCCCGTATAAGTGGCAAAAAAACCCGTACGCGGTACGTTATCTGCAAAAAAGGGAAGAAAAAAAGAATTATTGTGAGAATTGTCGGTGGAATTACGGGAATAATCGGTCGAAATTTTGAGCAATGCTCAAAAGAATTATCGGTAAAAATACGAGCATATTCCGCGGAGGCCTAATCCCGATCCGATGACTTGTGACGTATGCCAGCAAGAAAATGCTGGTACATGGTCGGGGCTTTTGTATTCTTGATGTCAGTTTAGTTATACCAAGAGTAGATAAACAAGAGTGTGCAACTCCGGATCTCTCCTGCACAATCTGCAGATACCCCGCGCCCACGGCGGAATTTTTTGTTTACGTCACCTTTTTTCAGAGAAACGCGGCTTTGCCGCAGAGCAGTGTGAGAGCACGTGCTGGGCACCGACCTTGTAGTGTAAAGCCCAGCCAAGTGCACGAGGGAAAACTCTCCAAAAGGCTCGCAGCGCGTGCGTCGTCGAAAAGATT